CAACACACTCTACATTAGCATGTTCGCTAACAGCATTTCTTTCGCTACCTATCTTCACTGTTAAATCACTTTATAAAATTCGACACGGTATTTTTACGAAATGATGCAATAATTTAACAAAGAAGTGTTATAATCTTCTTGAATATGAAATGCGTGCTACAACTTTAAAAGACGTCGTTATCAAATTAATTTGACTATCTCTATGTACACAACCGTGACTATCCGTTGTAAAAGCAACTGAAAATTGCACCTTCATCGCGAAATAATTAATGAGCGTTCATTAATAGGCATTGACTTTAATAATGCATGAATAATTTTAGTCGTCATGATAGATTGTTGTAGCCAAGAATCAGTATGCACTCATGAAGGATTAAAAATAATGTGTTTTTTAACACTAAGACTACTAAACCAGTCAAAATGACTGGTCTCTGATTTTTTCTTTTACAATTCCTAATATTATAAAAATGTTTCTACAATAAATTTTGAAATAAAATTCTTTAATCAGCTAATCTAACTCAACCTTGTCATTGTTATAAATCAATATGGATTAGTTGCATTTACGGCTCGGTAGTTCCAGCGTTAATCCACTGTATTGGAAATGGGTAGTTAAATAAAAGTAAAACGCAGTGAATTAAACTTATCCCTTTTAGTTTATTACTTTGATGTACGAGGAAGGACCGTCTTTACTCTCCTGATTGCTCCAGGAGACTAAAGACTATTCACAAAGACGAAACCAAAAACGTCACCTAAAGACAAAGAGCACTCTGTTCTATATACATATGAAATCATTGTTTATCTAATGGTACTCTGGCGAGACTCTCGGCGTCGATTCGTTTTTGTAACTTATATGCTAGAAGGAAAAACTTCTGAGTATTCAAAAGAGAGAAAATAATCCATTACATTGGAACAAAATTTCGCGAGAAATAAAAATGCGTCGAATTTATGATGTACAATCTTGTCGAATTTCAGTTCGTCCCAAAGGAGGATCCGTCGATCCCCATAGCGGTATTGCTTCGCAAACATGTGTCGAAGTTCGAAAGGAGCGGCTTCTTAACAAGATTAATGATCCGCTGCGTGAATCCAGGGTGTTAAACGTTGCCGCGCGTATATGTTTCTTTTTTTTTTATCTATTTACCGGCGCTGATTAATTTATCCCGATGGGGTCCTCGACAACGTCGCTCACCTCATCGAATCAGAATTATTCATCGGTCTCAAAGCCTTCATTATTCTCATACACACCGGCACCGATGAAAGAAGCACAAGCGTAGACGAGCCTATACACACACACGCGCGCGCGCGCGCGCACGCACATACACACAAACAGCACTTTCTCTATCGAGCAATAAATTACCCTTTCAACGAGTGGAATACGAACGTCGAGCATTTCAATGCCGCGAATAAATTTTCCGGCGAGAATTATCGACAGAAATGATTGCTTTCAATCTGCACTAGAAAACTGCGAAGTTTCCAAGCCGAGGATGAAGAAAGCGGAAGTCCCATCGCGGGAGACTGTTACTCGGATCTTCGAAGAGATTCTCATCGTCACGACCGCGTCATGGTGTTCGTGTACAGACATTGCTATTAGATCGAAAAATTTATTTCTGAGTTGAATCTCATTCAAATGAGTCGAGCAATGTTTTCGTCGCATTTAGAATTTTATTCGCAAAACATTAAATTGTTTCAGTGAGTCGCAAATTTTTCTGTAAGCTTCGGAAACGTTTTTGCAGACTTTTCGTGGAGCCTGAAGTATTTTTGTAAATTTTAAGTTCTGTAATATTTGTTATAAATTTCTCCATTGTTTTTTTTTTCTTACGATCGTGGAATATTTTGATCACGGTACAATGATCGCAATATTTTAATGGGATCTGTGGTTTCTTTGTGTTCGCGATAACTTTGTCATAGGTTTCATACCGCAGATGAGCATTAGATGGCCCTATTTCTGGTATCGAAAATCAGCGAGATCGAAAAGGGAAGTCCCGAATCTCGGTCGAATCTCGTCGCCTGTGACCGAGTTCTACGAATCATCTACGTGGTCACGTCGCGAAATTGATAATGCAGCCTATCGCGAGACGGCTTCACTCTGCTAGAACCTAACTGCTCAACCATGATGCCTTTCGAGGTTAACGTATGCATGATGATGACGATCCAGCGCTCGATTCGTCTTCAAATGCGAGTAGGGCCGCGTAACCTAAGAGGAAACTCGAACAGATCGCTCCGAGGTGCTCATTTCAAGATACTGCAATCATTCGTTCAATTTCGAAGCTCATTCTTTGCGAACTATGTTGGATACGCTGCTTTGCAGTTGTAATTTTGTGCCTTGGCAATATGTGCCCAAAAAGTTTGAAGACATTGTTTATAACTATTTTTAACTGTGACACTGTACCAATATTTTTTATGTGACAGGAACATACAGAGTTAATATTGGGTAATGATAATGATATGTAATGTTAACACATGTAAACGGTAGCTCCTATAAAATTACAGATAGATGAAATCAAATGTTTTCAACACGAAAGAATTACTTCAATTATTTTCCTGATTTATTTAGTTAATATATTGCACTTTGAGTATTAAATTACTTGAAATAAACTCTTTAACAGTAATAAATTGATACAATAATGGATTAAATTAAAATTATAAATTATAAATTGGAAATTGGAAATTGGAAGTTGAATGTTGAAAATTGAAAGTTGAAAGTTGAAAGTTGAAAGTTGAAAGTTGAAAGTTGGAAGTTGGAAGTTGGAAATTAAATTAAAATTTTAATAAATTAACAATGATTAAGATAAGACAATTGAGGATGTAAAATTTTTAACATCGTTAAGTAAAACTTTAAACTGAGCGTCTCGTAGACTAGTTCATTTAATTGTATTATTTTCTTTTTATTAAATTTTTAGAATATTACAATCAAAATACTCGAGTAGAATTTTCAGTAATTATGACTCATAGTTCTTTTATAATACATTCGCATAAAGATCGTAACAATAATGCAGTCTTTCACTAAATTCGAAGTGTCCGAACACATTTTGAACGATAGCAAATGTTTCTAATAGTAGTCTGAAAAAATTCCTCGGGTGCAGAGGGTTAACAAATATTTGTCCGAGAATCCCATTCAGACTGCGGACTTCTATAGAAAATAAAAATGGTATGTAACAGTTGCAAGAGATACATAGGTACCAGATTTAAATCTGTCTTAATCATTTGAGCAAATCGAACATAGTGCATATCGATACTTTTCAATGTATTATTCTTTTTTGATTTCAAGCAATTTTAATTTCTCTCGACATTATTTTGCATTAAATCGCATGTACAAAAAGTTATCAAGAAATGGCAATGTTTCAAACAGATGATTTCTAGTTTTCAGGAACGAGTGGACTGCATTACAAATTTCTATTTTAATTTGCCCCATGTTTTAAACCGTTCCAACTAATTTTTCTCACAGATTCGCAGATTCCACATTCCAGCCATAACAAACTTATAAGCAGAATAACAGAAACGACTGTGTTCTAATTGTCCCGTTTGAAAATCGAATTTCAGAATCGTTATTACGGGGAAAGGTTTTCGGATGTTGACGGACATCAAAGCTGTTTGCAGTCGGGGCTCAAACGGGGAGAACGGTTCCGGTGCGGCGTCTTAGCACTCGTCGCGAAAGAATCAGCGAGGGAGCTGAAAAATCTCGTTAAAGGGTATATCCCTGACGCCGGCTGAACGATCTCTCCCTCTTTCTCCCGCCCCGAAGGTTTTACTACGAGAAGCTGGAAAGTTCGCTTCGCGCGTTTCCTTCGAAATCGCAATAAAATGGCCCGGCGGAGATCGTAAATTACTCGCTCGCACTTTTTACCGTCGCGTCGGCCAACTAAGCCGCGAAAAAATAAAAGGGAAAGAAAGAGATAGGCGATTCTATCCAATTTCTGAACAACTTTCTCCGATAAAAACCATGGTTCGGCCGATCGAAATAAAGATAAAGGATAATTCGATTTCGTGCTGGTAGCCGTGGGATTTTATTTATTAGGTTGTCCTATAAGCCCGGGTCCCTTTATTGTTCCCATTTTCTTGAACCCCTTGCACTATGATTTGTTTCAACAGTACATTGATTTGCACTTTATTGCAGTTAACCCTCTCTGCGCAACGATTTTTAACAAATCTTAATTCTAAAACCATTTTAATTCTGAAGCCAAAATAGCTTTCCCAACGAACGATATGTCTTTTCATTTTATATGACTCATTGTCGGTGTATTTCATATACATGACATTGAGTCTTGTAACACATACAACAGTTACATTTTCAACAGTTTAAAAAGAAATATAAACAGATTCGAATTATCAAATCTAAATTATTAGATGTAAAAATGTTAAAATTATCCAAATTATTAAATCTGAATTATCGAATGTAAAAACTATTTTTAGATTCCCTTCGTATATTCGAATAGATTAGATTTTATTGTTTTATTTAGATTTTATTATTTTATTTAGATTTTTTTCTTTTATTTAGATTTTATTATTTTATTTAGATTTTTTTCTTTTATTTAGATTTTATTATTTTATTTAGATTTTTTTCTTTTATTTAGATTTTATTATTTTATTTAGATTTTTTTCTTTTATTTAGATTTTATTATTTTATTTAGATTTTTTTCTTTTATTTAGATTTTATTATTTTATTTAGATTTTTTTCTTTTATTTAGATTTTATTATTTTATTTAGATTTTTTTCTTTTATTTAGATTTTATTATTTTATTTAGATTTTTTTCTTTTATTTAGATTTTATTATTTTATTTAGATTTTTTTCTTTTATTTAGATTTTATTATTTTATTTAGATTTTTTTCTTTTATTTAGATTTTATTATTTTATTTAGATTTTTTTCTTTTATTTAGATTTTATTATTTTATTTAGATTTTTTTCTTTTATTTAGATTTTATTATTTTATTTAAATTTTATTGTTTTATTTAGATTTTATTATATTTATTATTTGTTATTTATTTTTTATTTTATTTCCCTTTATCAGAAGGGAAAATTGGAAGCTCGATGCTCGTAGATTGAGAAGACACTGTCCACGGTGACCATAGAGACTCCGAGATGAGAAACTTCGCCATATTCCCGTGGAAGTCCGCGGTCGAACAGAGAAGTCTCGTTAAGAGTACACTTTCCCGATGGCGCTTGAACGATTGCAACCGTCCTCTCGTTCGTCTTCCCCAGAAACCTTCGCGAAAGTTCGCTCGCTTTCGGGAATTCCACTCTATCAAAGTCGAAAAAGTTCGCAATAAGTCGGGCCTGCTCCGCGGCGATTGTAAATTATTCGACGACTTGATGGACGGCCACGTGGCATGAGTTTCATTGATGGACACGAAATTCGTTCGTCGGCGGTCGACGCGGTTTTCCGAAAATAGGAAAGGTAGCATTTATAAAGACATTGAGGTTAATGCATTTAAGATTATATAAGAAATATACATAATGTCAATATTTATTTTTTACGATGCTTTTATGATACAGTTGGCGTCAAGACGAGTTCAAAGGCCAATAAAACAATGATCTCGACGTGATGTCGAAGATGACAAGATAAATTAATATTAGAAGAATGTCACATTTTAAACATGCAACAAATTATTACAAAAACATTTATTCATTCTCCCGATTCCAATTAATCTTCTCTTACTGGGTATCCAAGTGTGGATGAATGTATTTTTGAGTTATAAATCAATGTAAGTTAACATTCGCTATAGCTTAACATTTATTTAAAGTAAGTTAATCTGGCGACTTCCATACAGTTGGCAAAATAGTGCCACCGCCGTGTTGGTCAAACGACCGGATTTATTTTTATTTCATAATTATTGAAGTCACGAAGCTGCTTACATTAGAAATTGTTGAATATATTTCTTTATTCAGGCACGCGCTGTTATAAAAATTGTGAAAATTCTAAATAAATTCTGTTTTGTAATTCTTAAGAGGCAACACGTGTTAGTCGCTTTTAGACCTCGATAGGATTAGCGTTAATATATTTTATTGTATCGTTCGCATTAAGCGCTCTAATGTGTTCACCTAATTGCCACGTCTATATCCTTTTCATAAAACTGTATCCAAGGTAAACAAACGATTGAATAATTCATTTGTTATTATATGAAAAGCATACATCAGAGGATCATATTAACCTGAACGCAATAAGAGCATAAAATATTAAGTATCATTTTCTTATACGAAATTGCTCTGCACAATTGTTGCCCGCGTGTTCCCATGAACATCTTACTCGAATTCTAATCCACAAACAGTACAGGCGACGTTTAACGGAACAATGATTAATCAGACATCACAAGGGCTACTCAGAAGACAAGGGTTAATCAGACACCGGCGTTGCGGCGTCGATTTGTCGTCGGATCGACGGACCATCGGGTATCATGTTTCGCGTCGGCCGACAATGGAGAACATAACTCAGAAGACGCGAGTCGATTAGCGTGCCTTGTAAAACGAGCAAAACGGGGGAAAAAGTGCATCCGGCTGCGTCGGTTGCAACAAAAATCCGCCGATCCGCCGTACAGACAGGGGAACAGCCCGCGTGGGCGTCACGAGGTGCCTCTCTCTCTCCGCGAATAGAGGTGGTGATTCAGTGCGGTCGGTGGTGCGATGGTTCCGCAAGGAGCAAAAGGATAACACGATCGGCGGAGCGCGTGAACCCGTGATTGCACGCATCTGCGATTCGCGTGTCTGTATTGCACGTGCCGAGGGTCTATGAATAAACGCGGCCGTTGCATCCGTCGCAGCGATCTGTGAAGAGTCACTCCCTCCCGCCGAAGTTAAAAATCCTTTCGTACCGATTTTTTTCGTCGGCTGAAACACACCGTCCGAAATGTTCATAAAGCCACCCAGCCTGCTATTTGCTGATTTCTTATCATTCTTTTGAACCAATGAGGTGTTGGTCGTTCAAAGAAATGAAATAATTAAATAATTAACCTTTACAGGACCATAAGGTTGCTAAGAGTAAATATTACTATGTAACTGTTTATTTTAGTTCGTTTTTAGACGTAAAATAAATAAAAATCATAAGAAAAATACATAAAAATGTGTAGTCTTTTTGGAATTCTATGGAAAATATTTTTCCCAATGGACTCTAAAGGTAACACAAATTATGGTTAGGCTTATTATGCAATGTCTTTTATTTATTGGTTTATTATAACAAAATGTTAACTAAAATAATTTTATGGAATAAAATTACTATACAAAATGATGTGCTGATTACGAGATATTCTGCGAAGCAATTTCTTTTGGTTGTGAAGCCAAGATGAACATTGCACATAGTGCATATATTATGCGTCCTTCCATGCAACGTTTAGCACAATTTGCACATCTTTTCATTTCTTCCGCTTTTTGCACGTTTGTGCTGGCAAATTGCATTTTGTACCAAAAATAACCAATAATTAAATACGACAATTACCAATTTTAATATGAGGAAAAATGTTTCCCTTAGTCGTGAAGGGGTTAAACGTTTATTAATGGAAAAATATAGTTCAGCAGAGAAGAAAATAGTTTGCCGATTTCTTATCATTCATTTGTACGGAAATTAAATAATTATGTGTTTATTAAAGGAAAAATATAGTTTGAAAAATTTTCCCGGCATTTTTACTCGGATAAAGTTAAAATTGACAATAATTTTCCCGCTATTTCTGTATTAATAGTTAATTTAATCTTCATCAGTTCGTAATAGTATTACAAATGCGGTTTTACATTTTTAGGAGAAGATTATTTGCAACATGAAATCGCTTTTTTGAAACAATTTCTTTAATGCTGAATTGTCCCATATTTAAAAAATGAATTATTGTCTTAGTAGAATTTATAACGACAACGTTTTTCATTAAACAATCACAAACTTAGTTATTATATTATTTCTATTTGATTTGGCTCTTATGAGGAGGATCCTTGAACTCTAAGTAGACTGTGGATTTTATGCATTTTTGGAAAAAATGAGTAGGGATTAGAAAATATAAAAAGGGATCAGAAAAATTTAAGGATATTGTTACATTGTGTTCAACTTATAACGATTGTTAAGAAAGAAAATATATTTTGCCTAATTTACAGTTTTTACATGAAGATTCGCAGTCCAATTACAAGTCACTCGTCCGCAATTTTTCAAAAATAGTTAATAAAAACACGTATTTCACAACGAGACTTTGACTTTGTCCTTTCAAAGAAAATTTAATACGTGACAGTGGTTCCTTGCAGACACAACGTCTTCAAAGAAAAATCCTCTCGATCTCCTTTAACGTTTTAAATTCGGCTACGAGCCCGGCCATAACGGAAAGAGACTCCCATATATCAATAATTTATTCCCCACGAAACGGTAGTGATTTTTCCAACACGTCAGCAATAGTTTTGCCGCCACACTAGGCACATATTTCATGTTACGCCACATTTCCCCGTCGTTTTACCATCGATCGATTCCGAATTTCAATGTTGGGAGGATTAAATCGTTCGCGGGCCGTCATCCTATTCCCTTCACACAAGATAAACCTCAAAATGTCTTACTATGCGGCTTTAATAAAAATATCGTGAAAGAAAATCTCGATCTCGCGGGGAAAAATTGCATTTTCAAAATCCCGAGACAATGAAATACGTGAAATTGATCGCTTTGATTACGATGCATTAGACTTACGCTGTCTCGAAAAATTATTGCTGTACGATCAGTAGGCAGCGAATTTTTTCCATTTATAATAAAAATGAATAGATCGATGCAAAACAATAAATACATTTAAAGAGTTTAATAAGAATGCTGCTACATGAATTTTAACTCGTTGAAATGATTAAGAAGAAAACTCTTAGATCTTGCAATAAATGCCGGAAATTATTTATTTTGCATAAAAATCTGCTGACCAATCGTCAGTTTAATCGAATTCGTTGTTAACATATGTAAATAATTTAATTTGGTGTAGTAGCATTTGCAACACTACTAACAGTAGAACTACCAAACCAGTCAGAATGACTGGTTTCTGATTTTTCACATTTCACAGTTCTTGATATTATACAGGGTGCCACAAAATCATGTCATTTCCGGGGAATGAGGGGTTCCTGAGGTTATTCGAAGTAACTTTTTCCTTTACAAAAATTTTCTCCGAGGCATCGTTCACGAGTTATCAACAAGAAACATTGACCAATAAGATCGGCCGGCGCGAAGCGGCCGAGCCAATGAGCGGAACTGGGCTTCGGCCGCCCGTTGGCTCGGCTGCCTCGCGCCTGCTGATCTCGCCTCTCACTGGTCACTGTTTTTCGTTAATAACTCGTAAACAAAGCCGCAGATTGCATTTGCGTCAAGGAAAAAGTTACTTCGAATGACCTCAGGAACCTCTCATTTCCCGATTGCAAGTGACTTTTGGGACACCCTGTAGAAACGTTTCTACAATTTCGAAATATTTAGTTTAACCCATTACTTGAACAGAGGCGACGACTTCAATCGAAAGCTTACTCTTTTAAATATTATGAAAACATTTCTATGAGAACTTTTTGATAAACATTTTTATTCAAGCGTATATGATAATCAGACTGCGGATTTTATACATTTATAATAAAAATGTGTAGATACAATTTTGAACAATGAAGATATTAAAAGCGTGCAAGGACATCAACTCACTGTGATTATTAAAGGAAGAAACTTTTATTTGACTCATCTTCATTACGAAAATAAGTTTTATTTTGCGTAAAGATGCGCAGTCTAATTATAATAGAAATCGAACGAAATTGAAATAAATCCAAAAATGTTCGATATTGTCATGAAACGATACACATTAGTCACGTTTAGGGTTTAGCAGTTCTAGTGTTAATCGTAAAAATCGACAAACAATTTAATCTAACGCTGTACCTAATCAACTGCTCCATTATTATTTTAGTTCGCATAATGGATGTTCCACTGTGCTCGATTCTGTTATCAAGTTCGAGGGGTCTTGCATTATTCGTTTAAATAAAAATGAGATCGTGTTGCTTGAAGAAGTTCTTGAGACGGCATGGTGTGCACGAGATAAAGATACGTTTTTGTTTTCGCGTGGGTTTCTCGGACGATCGAAACAAGAAAGTATGACAAAACGATGCAAACGAGGAAGCAACGTAGCCGGAAACCGTGACGCGTTCTGCTTTAAACTCCTTCGTGCCAGGATCCGATCTTCCGACAAGATGTGTGGGGAGCTGGAATCCTTGGGGCACATAATTTATTGCCCCTTACGTGATACCGAGTGTCCCGAAGCATCACCGACACTCAAGCTACTGTGCTTTGAACACTAATGCCGAGACATTAATGTTCCGGAAAACGTGTCGCGCGGAACTTACAAGGAATTTTGCTACAGCGAGGTCGCTAATGTGCGCTGCGTCAATTTGCTAGTAATTTCCTCGCAGGAATTTGCTCTGGACGCAGAAATCAATGTAATTAGTGTAATGTGACCGGAGAAGGATTCTTACATTGCGAAGATTCGTATTGGTTATTTACAACTTCTAATGCATTGATTGCCGCGTTAGTCGTACGTGAATGTATCGAAGAATATTACATAGAACGATTGATCCCTTTAACTGAATTACCTCGATTTTACTTGATCTTCTAGCGGTTGCAATTTAACAATCTACGCTTCAACTGTTCGCACTCGGATGTCTCCTTTCAGAGAACAGAACAAAACTGTTGCCAATTACAACACTTTCAGAATGAACAATTTTCATTTCATAAAATCTATACCAAATACGATCTTTCATGAAATTTCATTTACACAATCTAATCATTTCCAATGTTTTAATATTTTATATTTTCCTTAAAGCGTTTCTTACTACTTGCAAAACAGATACGAGTTTTGGTATATGATCAGTGAAAATTCA